GGGGGGGGGGGGGGGGGGGGGGAGAAAGGGTGAGGCCAAGGCGGAAGGGAAGAGATGCAGAGAGAGAAGATATCAAATAAGACGGAGATCGAGGGAGGGATCCAGTGAGAACAGTTGAGAAGGAAAAAAAGGGGGGGTGGGGTAGGGGTGGACAGGGGGTGGTGGAAACAAAAGTACAGTGCTGAGCGACTTGGCAGCTTTGTCTTTTATTTGACTTTGACCAAGCAGAGATGGGAAATGCTAGGTGGTGCAGAGGCAGCTGCCGCATGTTAAAAAGCTGAACAGAGCCCTATAGAGGTATGTGGTGGGTGTGTGTGTGTGTTAGAGTGAGAGCGAGGGTGGGGGTATCTTACTGCCTATTGTGTCTATACAGTGAACTTTATGGAATGCTTTTGATCTGTGCATCAACAAGGGCAAGAGCAGCATGGAAGGAGAAAAAAGAAATTGATGGCAAAAGAAAGTGCAAGAATAAACACTGGAGCAAAAGGAACCCTACGATCATATGGGAGAGTTAAACTGGTGTGTAATCTCGACTGCTCTGTTCTTAAAGGCACTGAGCTTCTCTGCAGCCACTTTCTTATAAACTGTTTTGTCAGCTCTAGTCTTGATTTATTACAGCGCTTAGGCACAAACGTATTAATAAAACAAACTCTAAATATTTACACCGGTACAGACAGGGTAAAACATTGAGTAAAGTCTGACATATTCAGTATGCCAAGAATGTGTTGACTGTGTTGTGAACCATCTCCAGGGAGGGAAGATCCCCATCAGATGGACGGCTCCAGAGGCCATCGCCTACAGGAAGTTCACCTCAGCCAGCGACGTGTGGAGTTACGGTATCGTCATGTGGGAGGTGATTTCATATGGAGAGAGACCCTACTGGGAGATGTCCAACCAGGATGTAAGTCACAGTGACTAACTTCCTCCTCGATCTTCAGCTCAATTCCTAACAGTGAAACTTTTTATCTCCCTCTATAGTATTGATCACTGAACTTGATATTTTACACGGTCTCCCCTGCAGGTCATCAAAGCAATAGACGAGGGCTACCGTCTTCCCGCTCCAATGGACTGTCCTGTGGTGCTGCACCAGCTCATGTTGGACTGCTGGGAGAAGGGACGCAGCGACAGGCCAAAGTTTGGACAGATTGTCACAATCCTGGACAAGCTCATCAGAAACCCAGCCAGCCTCAGAGAGCTGGCCAATAGCTCAGCATGGTCAGTGGGAGAAATGTATAAATTAAATAAATAAATTGTGATTTCCAAACTTTCACTGACATGCACATGTAGTCTTGAGAAATACTTGGATTAGATAAGAGGATGGTACATGCAATGAAAAAATAATCGCTACCTCAGATCTACATTGTAAATCTACTTTGTTGGAAATGTCATTTTTCAGTAAAATCACATTCTTATCTTTCCTCAGCAAAGTAATATTTGTCACTGGGAAAGGTTCTGGGTTGGCATATTCATAGTCGCACATTCAGTTTAGACTCCCCGCCTGCTCAGTTGTACTTCACACATGCATTGAATATCATTATTTTTACATTTACATTTTTACACTTCAGGCATTTAGCTGATGTTTAGAACCAGACCAGCATACAGAGCGTACAACAGAACAGCTTCAGTCCTTTTCAAAGCACACAGAAGACACTCTACATATAAAAACGGAATCCGAGCACAACTAAAAAGACAACATGACCAAAAGAAGAGTCTTAAATATGGGTCTTGGCAGACTATAGCATGGCTTTAACTGAAGCATATACTGAACAGAACTGTATGTACGTACATATCGTATGCAAGTATGTAAGTGCAGATGGAATTACTATTGCATGGTAGAGGTTTGAGCATGCAAATGAATAAACACACAGATACTTTGTAACAATCTATAACAATAGGAAGCGAGCAAACAAGTCAAAGGGTTCCATAAGTAAAGCTGTGTGCGCTACTGTGGGGGCAGCGAGGGGACAAATCATTAATCATACTTACCCACTAATGGCTAGGTTTAAAGTTTAGGGTTTATGTTTTCTTTTCACAGAGGATTTGAGTCTGTCATGCTGCGGTTGTTGCAGAATTAAAGCTATTCTGTCCGACCAACACCGTGAATGAGCATTAACTGGCTCTTCAAACGTGCTGCTGACAGTTCTTTATTTTTATAAATGAATACCCTAAAACGAGTTGGGTTTCATAATTGCTCCAAGGACAAATAATTGACTTCAGCACCAGTCAGAAAGTGTTATTTAGCCACTCAACAGGACAAAATGTCATTGAGTTTTGAGTGTGCTTTGTATCCCAGCAGGGAGGACCCGTCCACCCCAGAGTTCAGTGTGAACACAGTGGATGAGTGGTTGGAGGCCATCAAGATGGGCCAGTATAAGGAGAGCTTTTCCAGTGCTGGATATGTCAGCTTGGACTCAGTCCTCTACATCAGTGTCAGGTACAGATGGCTGGTGACTCATCCCAGTTAAATGAAAAACTGAAAAGGTCAACATTGTCAGTAAAAGACATATTACATTCCACTTGAGTGTCATTTGAAATGAAAGAAGGGGATTTACACAAGTATCTTTGACACGAAACCTGAGCAGGTGCTTGGCATTTGAAGAACAATGTAGTTGTTCTGTGTTTTTCTCTTAAAGTTTCATTTATAAATAATTTTTCTGTCTGCATGTTTTTTTCTTATAGTGAGTTGGCTAAGATGGGTGTGAATCTGGCTGGCCACCAGAAGAAGATTTTGTCCAGCGTGCAGAGCCTGCAGACCCAGGGGACGCACGTCCAAGTATAACAGTTTCCACATAAACTCACAGTGAGACAGAGCCAAAATGGATGCTCCTGTGAAGAGTTTCCCCACTGAAATGGAGTTGTAATGGATACTCTGTGCTCGGGCCTCCATTGATTTTGAGACACACTGAGATGGAGACAACATGGACGCTTGACTCCTTCACCTTCTCGCAGTTTCACCATTCTTCCCATCCTCGATGGGCACTACCGGCTTTAGCACTCAGAGTCCCAGCAACACAACCACCATTTTGGAGCAACAGAGAGACACATGTCCAACAACAAGGCCACATCTAGAGCATCTCAGACCATTTCACATCATATCAGCTCAACAAAAGAAGAAGAAAAGATTTTTAACAAATGAAATGACAAAAAAACAAAATAAATTAGAATATAATTATCATCACTGTCTGTGAGGTGTACAGTTGGTTTTTACTGTCATTTTGTTTCTGGTTTAAGTTTTCACGTTGAAGAGTTTAAAAAGGGTCAGAAGAAATGTATATGTGTAGATATATGTTTATATGGGCTGTGTGTCCCACAACCGTAGAGATGGACCTAATGTTTGTATTGGTGGTGAGGTTTATATCGCTCAACCTTAATAGGAGTTATTACCTAGTACACGTATGGCCCCTTCCATTGCTTTCTGCATACAGAAACTGCATACAGAAAGCCAATGAATTAGCTGCGATTCTAAAAGACATGAATGTGTTGGGTGAGGGGAACAGAAAATCTGGACCTTTAGAGATAGAGAGGGATGTAGATTTTGCTTGCTCATGTAGGATGGAAGTGATGATTCATTTAAATAGTGTATTTGACCAGGACAAGGGCTTCCCTAGCGACTGATCTCAGACACACTTCCATAGCAACTAGACCCAGTGCACGTTTGCTAGTCTGTTTGCACTTAAGATGTAACTGAATGCAAAGAAACAGCAGAAACTGCTTAAAGTGCAGTTAGCACACAGAGACATTTTTACTCTTCCATAAATGACTGTCTATTCCAAACAACATCATCTATTCAGCTGTTACAGTATGATGTTGTTGGGAATATTTTAGCCTAAGAGTCTGCCTTCCTATGTTTCAGGTGTGTTAAGAAAGTTATAGTGTTTTGTGTAGAGTAAAGGTGATGCCAAGGTCATGATAGAGTTGACACTGTTAAGAACGTGTAACTTGTTTTTTCAGTGTTGTGCCATGTACAGTAACCTTGAAATGTTCATCTGGGTAACATAACGCCATTATTACCATACTCTTTCCTTCAATCAGTTCCCATGGCTGGATGGTAAAACAAGGCCACGATAATTGTAGTGTTCTGTCCAAATAGTCTGCTCGATGAAAAGGAGCATCAGAAAGGACCCTTTTTTTTTAAACAAGATGAAATAAACGCAGTGTTGATTTTGCAGCTTTGCCACCACGATAGGGTAAATTTCACTTTGAAAAAAACTGTGTGTCTTGAACTGTCCCACTTTGTTGTTATCAGTCATGCCAACCTATTTCAAGCACTCCTAGTTTCAAACCAGTACCCATAAGGTAAATTCTGAAAACAGTGTTTACAGCAAATACATTGGTTTGGTGGTTTTTCCTTATCAGAAGGAAACTGCTGCTTATCACATTAAAAGGTTAAATATGATGGGACCCTCTTTGTGTGCACTGCATTAATAGCACTGAACCTGCTTTAGTGTATTCCCAAACTCAGTTTTAATATATGTGGTACTCTATAGGACCAACAGTGGCAAAAAGTACAGTATATATGATTGTATCATAGTGTAAAATATGTACAGTGTTGATTTCCAATGTTAGAATGTTTGTAATGATAACAATGATGATGACTATGATGTACTTTTATTGTGAAAAAGAGATTTCTGAAGTACTCGTTCAGGGGCGGGTCATACGGGAGAAAAAGTGAAGGGAGGTGATTCATTGGTCTGAACAAAGGAATGTAGCATGGTGCAAAGCTTCAGCTTTGATTGACAGGTGACAGTGACTGCAGTTTCTATCATAGTGTTAGAATGAGTAGAATGGACTTCTTTCATTGATACACTGGCTTAATTTGAGTAATTAGTAACAGTAATTACATGCACTTTTTAAGCCTGTGTCCGCCTACAACACAACTTGTAAAAAAGGCTCGTTTGGAAGAGAAAGGGATGGAAGCACGAAGGTTGAGATAAGTCCTCTGATCACAAACTGAACATTAGTTAAACCACTCCCCCAAGCTGAAATTGTCCAATCATAGCTTAGCAACATAACTAGACACAGACCTGTCAAGCTTTGCATTTTTCCACATGCTGAAGCGATTTGCATGTAGTAAGATCATACCGTGGCATTCAAAGATGGTGGCTTTTTTCAGCTTTTCCAAAACACAAAATACAACAGCAAAAGTGTAAAGGATTGATTAAACAATGTGTTTGTCTGTTCTAATGTAAGCTGCAATTATTACCATGTCTGGCTACTTAGCTAACCACCTACAGTATAACCAAGCATTACTTCCAAGGTTGAACTAGCTTACATATGTTTGTGGGGTTACAGGTTATGAAAATAAAAGCCCTGTTCACAACTTGAATCAGATGTTGCCATCAGTGTTTAGGGTAACTTGAGCAGCTTTGTCCTGCTCCTTATTGGATTTGGGAAAGTTTACATCCCAAAAACTGTAGTCAGCGTTACCCGAGATAGTGTCACATCTGTCAAACACAGTGGTTAATCCTCACCCTTAAAGCCTTTTCTGATACTAACTTTTTGCCTGGGACATTCAGTTGAGTCTTTCAGCACTATATCATGTAGCCATCGCATGCATATTTAAGACACTTTTTACAGGGTTTTCCTTTTAAAACAAGTGAGTTCGAAATATTAAAAAGTCAGTCAGAAACAGCATTTTAACCATCTCACTGACTAACTGAGTTAGCTAGTTACAGCTAATAAAATAGGGCAGTGACAGTTGTCCTTATACCTGGAAAACTGATGTTCGGTGGCTAGAAATAAAAAGTCTGAAATCAAGGACCCAATCCTTTAAAATAATTTTGATGGTAAATCTACCATGATTATTGTAAATTATATAATATGCCTAGCTTGACTGGCATAGCAACAAGTAACTAAGGGGGCGGGGCTTAGTCCACAGAAAATTTCAGCCACTAAGGCTTACTTGTGTTTTTTGGTCAAATAATGGCACGAAAAATATGTTTAAATACAGAAGGCATACAAATAAATGTTAACAGCTAAAAAAAAAAAAATCCAGAAATTAAATACTGTTTGCCAAACCACTGATGCCACACTCAAAAACACAACACACAGAGTCTGAGACAGTTAGTACATTCTACTCTTGCTAACTCTATGATTTCACTCTAGCGGACTACCCTTGACCGCTGGCCTTTTAGATGCCTTATTTACTGAGCTATTGTTCATTTCTGTTGCCCTATAGAGGCGATATTAAGAGTGAAGTGTATGTACAGGTAGTATTTATCTGTGTTCTTAAGATGACCTCACATCAATACCCTGGTTTTGTAACATCCCAGAGACCCCCCTCCAACAGCACATTCACTTTGATTCCTTCTAAACCTGAAAATAATACATAAATAAAAAGCGGATGACCTGTATAAGCTGATAAAGAAATTGACAGAATGGTTCTTATTTGTTTAAGTCATATAAGATATTCAATGATAAAAAATAAATGCAGATTATGGATGTGGTTTGATTACAATTTGAAAGACTTTATTTGGCTGCAAAATGCGCAAAATTCCTTATGCTACACAAGATTAGAAAAAGACCCAAAAACAATGGTGCATTGCAACAACAGCAAGCAAGTGTATTTTCCACTCCAAGTATACAGCAGTCATGCCTACACTTGGTTTCAACTCTCAAGATCCCAGGTTTGTGTCACTATTCACCCTATCAAGGTTAGCTATATGGGTTGGTTTGCTTGATCTCAAATACAGTGTTTGTCCTCCATGCCCCACCAGGTCTGTATTGTAAATGTTCATGAGTGATTCTCATTTCAGACTCTCAGCTCTCTGTCTCTTTCTCTCCTCCTCTCTCTCTCTCTCTTTCTTTGGCCACCGTACAATGCTTATTTGTCCCCATGCCAGTTTCCTCTGCGTTGCTTCTTGTAAAAGGGTGTAGGCATTCTAATGTCTTTCATGTTGCTGTAATAAATATGCTAATATTTCTAATTTCTCACCTGAAGCCTGCAGTGTCTTTTTCTTTCTCAGAGACACATTATCTGCCTTTTTCTTTCTGTCTCCCACTCTCAGACACACTTATGTATACACACACATGCGCACACACACTAGAAATACGCTTATTCACTTGCACAATTCCACAGTACAATTACACTGGGACAGTATGATGGTATAAAATTCAAAGTGCCTTTACATGAAAGTGTTATGAAGCCTTCACTTAATTATTTTTTGCTGTGTAACAAAGCCTGAAGGTATCACATTTTGATTTGGTGAGCGTCTGACCAGTCTTGCAGAAAGTCAGTGCATGGCTGGGAAATTCAAGGATAGTCTCATTTGCCCCCAGCTCTGCTTTAATGGTGATAGCGGTGGTGAAATTCCCATCATAACATAACTTGAATGGCAAAATATGGCCATTCTGCAACCACATCTTCATTATCCGTGTGTGTGTGTGTGTGTTCCGTACTGGGAGATAATTCTGTCTCGAGGGAGGGGGAAGGTCAGCGACTCCTGGCCTTGGTTAACCCCTTAATGCACTGGCCCAGTTGCTGTCACTCTATGTTACCGCCATTACACCTCATTTAGCCCATCATATTAGGGTCCATATTCCCCTATCGCCCGCTCCCTCTGTCTCCCTTTCACACACACACACACACACACACACACACACACGACAAGACATACAAAATATTCAGAACCTGTTCTCCATTTCCTCAGTATCTATCTCCTGCTACTGCCCTCCTCTTAATCTTTCTGCTGGCCTTGTGCATCCCCATTTTTCCTCCCCCTTTCCTGTCTATCCTGTGCAGACAGACAGAAAGTTGGTGGCTAGTTCTCTGACCTCGACTACCACATTATCTCTCCTCTCCTTGCTCTTTCCTCTTCTCGTAGCTTTCTAATTTCCCCTACCTCCTCCCTCCATCCATCCATCCATCCATCAAAAGTTTCTCTACATGCAGCCCTCTCTTTGAGGTCCATTGCCTCTTTCTGTGTCACTACTATCACCACTGGGTTTCTTTTAACTATCAAAGGCCAATCCATAACTTTAGGCTTTTGTTTCTAGGTGTCTCAATAGGGAGAATGTCATCTCACATATTTACTTTGGATAACATGGAGGGTACTGGGAGCCAATGGCCTAGGCGATTGATTCATCATGCAGCTGTTATTGGCATCATGTGAAAAGGTCAGGTGTCCCTATGGAGAACATTTTAAAAGGCCATTGGTGACTGATGAGCCTGTCATGTTTGTATCACATACATGCACAACCACTCTGTCTCTCGCTTTGTCTCTCACTCTGTATCTCTGCCTTTATCTCTCTCTCTCTCTCTCTCTCTCTCTCTCTGTGTCTCTCCCATGGGAATGGTAATTGGGCCTCTCTGTCATGCTGTCAGGTGTGGGTTTGAGTGTCCCCTCATGTGCAACAGCAGACATTAAAATAACACAAGAGACCAAAAAGCCATAGATCCACCATGACCTCTGAAGGGCCAGCCATATGTGTACTGTGTGTGTGTGTGTGTGTGTGTGTGTGTCCATAGATGTGTGAATGTTACATCTGTGTGTTCATAATGCTTATGAGACCACAACAGATGCTGTGTGAGTGAGCAGGCAATGTGAGTATCAGAAAGGGAGACAAAAAGCAAAGACTTAGATAAAATCTGAACCAGAGGAAAGATTTCATCAGTCATTGGTTAAATTTGCTGAAGTTCCTGCTTTGTCGCTCTTGATTGCATTGCATGTGTCCTCTCTAATCAAATATGGCCAAGTTCAGACAGGCTCAGTGTTTCGTGGTCTGCACACACACTCACACACGAATGCACACTTCAGTGCTCTTCTCTCTCATGAGGTTTTAGTTTGCTATCAAAGCGATTTCCTGTCTCAAATTTTCATCAGTAATCAAAGTTCCTGATTGAATTTGAAAAGTGAGACCAGCTCTATAAATCACATTACATGCCTCACTCCCATCATGCCTGCTCTCATCAGCCACAGGAATGAGACGCCACCCTGGGTGTATGTCTGCGTCATGGTCTCTGTGTATGTGTGTGTTCTTGTGCATGCGGTGGAACAGGAAAATGGATGTTGACAGAGCTGTGATTTGATCCATGCAATTTTTAGTCGGGACAGATAATATAAAAAGGAGAGAAGAATGATGAAACGACAATAAAGATAACACACCTGGGTCTGATTGCATGTGGAAACAATTCTTGGCATTTTTTTAGTGTCAGTTGGATTCCAGATAAGTGGAGTTTATTGCAGCAGGTCAGGTAAAATAAATTTGGTGAAAAAGACTCTGACATGATTTTGTTGATGTGTTCAGCTTCCAAGCTGCTTTAAGGAAATAGATCCTGCATCTCTGACTTACTTTAATGCCAGCAACAGCTGCACCTCAAAGTTCTGGTTACCCTGTAAAATGTGACTGAACCTGACACAAAGCAACTAAAAAAATTTGGAAAATTATGAAAAAACGTACAAAGAGATGATAATAAAAATATGCAAAAAGACTACAAAGAGACGCAAAGTGACAACAAAGAGATGAAAAACAGCAACAAAGCAACTAAAAATAGACTGTGAACATGGGCTCATTGTCTCACAATTATAATTTCCAAATACTGTTTGACCCAAGTCAAACAGGTAACCAGAAAAACAGAATCAGCAAGAAAACTGCCTTTATTGGACAGTTGTCATCACCTAAAATCAGAAACAGATTTCAAAATGGAGCAGCAACTGATTATGACTAGAATAAGAGGAGAGAGAATAAATAGTTTGAAAAAAAGGTGAAGAAAAACTTGGAAGGGTTTGGAGGGACTGAGATAATATTGACCACATAATCCCTCACAGATGTGGAAATCACTGTGTAATGCCTGGCAGACATGACATGCTGAACTGCTTTTGGATGACTCAAGAGGGACTCTGACCAAAGACAAACTCGCTCTTGCTCAAATCGTGCTCTCTGTTGATGGAGAAAAGTTGATGAAGATCTAAATTTAGGGCAAAGATAGAAAGACCACATCTGTCGGTGTATACATTACACAAACAGATACACACGGGCTGTGTATCTTTCCAGGGCTCAGTAACTCATTTGGGGTGAGAGTGTCTATAGAAGCCCTATTTAAGTGTAAATATATCCTGTTAATGTCTTCTTATGCAGAAATGTGCAGGCCTAGTTCTGCTCTTCTGTGAAATCCCATTATGAACCCTGTGTGTGACAGCTAATTGCAGTAGGTTGCATGATTCCCTGCTCCTGTTGCTTGTGTGTGTACATGTGTAAGTGTGGAGGAAAGACATGAGTGTTCTTTTGTACACACCACGTGTTTATGTGTGTTTCCTATCCTGTATAATCAAACACAGCTCTTCAAGTGCCATCAATCAAGCTTTGATGGGAAAGAGCCTAGAAACCGCCGAAACCCCCCTCAATGAGCTGAGGCTGTGCTCAGAGAAGCTGTTTTAGTGTTGCTGGATCCATTTGGTTTTCTAAACCAAATTGGAGGTGTAGAGGCTCAGGGGCCTGCAGTTAACGACTTATCTACATTATGTAGCCCATCAGAAATGTGATTATTTCAGGGTACTATGTAATGTCTTGGCTGGTGAAAATAAAGGCCTGCATGGTTTACGTCTATGCAGTTTTCTGTAACATCAAAGCCTCAAAACAATATGGAGTGTCGACCTGCATTCTCCTCCTGCCCCTTTCATCATCTTATTCTATGTCTTCATCACCAGCTCTTTTCTCCTGCTTTGCTTCTCATCTGAAGTGGATATGAAGCATTGAGGTTGCATTCACAGCATCTTTTTGTTAAATACAATTACAGATATATATATATATACACACACACACACACACACACATCTCCCTCTCCCTCCCCCTTGCCTGTCGCTCTTGCTGCAAACCTTTTTCCATCATTATCTTTGGGAGAAAGCCCCATTTTTGTTTTTGTTTTAAGCTTTGCAGCTTTGATGACTCCAAGAAGATTTGGTAGGCCACTGTGTTAAGATATACCGAAGATATAGGGTGGTCTGTTAACTTTTTCCAGAGTTGTGGAAAGAACATTTTAGCGGTGGGCTGGAATGACTTTAAACTGAAGATCTCACTAAAAACCATGCATGTAAGTTAAGACATCTTTTTTTAAATGAAATAGTAGAAATGCCTCCACATTGTGGTATATTTCTAGAGCGTGGATTGTTACTAAAAAAATCATCTCTTGCTGTTCTTTTTACCATCATAAGATGTTTTCTTTACTGCTACCTTCCCTCCTGCATCTACTCCTCCAGCCTCTTTGTCATCTACATAATGGTTGCCATTGACAAGTGGGCATGTGTACTTGGCCTCTGGGGATTTGACTAGTGACATAAGAGAAAACGGAGTATGGGTGAGTGGTACTGCTGGTTGTGCAGCTGTGTTTAGGTGTGTTTGGAAAATTTTCCAGTGAATGGTAAGGAAGGTTCCCATTGTGCAATGAATGTAAAGAACTGTGCATCAAATTATGTAACAGCGGAAAAACCCAGTCATATATAATAACACTGACTTTCCTCTGAAAAAAAAAAAAGAATTGGAGGAGGACAAAATGAGGGATCGAACCAGCTTGTGTGACAGGCTGGTCAATGAGTTGAAGTTGATGAGAAGGGCTTTTGGTGGTCAAGGGTCAATAACCTAATCAAGACATTTGACTCTTCATATGCATTTCTATTGGACCATCTGAGGCACTAGTAAATATTCATTTGGATATCACCAATTATGTTCATTTGTTAATTTCTTTCTGATTATCATTCCAAAAATGTGGTCACCTCAGGACCTTTGCATAAGACATGATTGCATCTGTAATTAGGTGAAAACCTTTTAAATACTGGTTTATAAAGAAGAAAAATACTCTTTAAATGTTACAAGAATCCATTATTGAGTTTCTCCAGTGGCTTTTTTAAAAGGTTTCCATATTTCAAGGGGTGCAGAATTATTATTATCTCTACTGTCGTCCATTTGGAAATATCCCGACTTT